AACAAACACAAGCCTTTTTAGAAATTTGGAACGGCCCGTTCCACTTTTTGGAATGGCTCGTTCTGAGCCGAGACTTATTATTTTATTATTTTTTTAATTAAAAAAAATCTCTTTAATAATCCCATAAATATTTAAAATACATAAAATAAAAAGAACCTTTTTTTTATTAATATTGTATAAAATTTGGGATGTTACACCTATGGTTGTTGTGAGTATATCATCCCGACCATGGGGAACAAATGAGCCCTAGGTGGCCTGCTCAACTAAATACTCCTGCAACATAATTGAGAGGCCAAATATGAGGGTTGTTACATTAATAAATTTATTAAAATTAGAAAAAAAATTATAATTTCTGATGGAAAATTTCGTCAAAAATTTCTAACGGATATTTTTGTCGGAAATTTCTGATGGAATGTTCTGTCGGAAATTTCTGACGGAATTTTCCATCAGAAATTTCCAACAGAATTTTCTGACGGAATTTTTCGTCAAAAATTTCTGACGAATTAAATTATTTTCGACGCTACTTTTTTCGACGGATTTAAATCTGTCGGGAAAAAAAAAATTCGTCAGAAATTTATTTATTTCCGTCAAAAATTTCTATCGAAAATCAACATTTTTCTTGTAGTGATTTATCATTTATCTTATATTTTGGTTTTTAATTTTATATTTTATTTAAATAAAAAAAACACATAAAGACACAATGTGACTCGATTTTTTATGATAAATGAGATAACTCTTTTTTTGCATACACATTTTCTTTATAATTTTACCCTTTGTTTGTAGTGGTTTTCATTTAAGGATCTTTTTTATTCAAACTAGCAAAGTTTTTAATTTAAGTATGTGTAGCCAGTGGTATTTCCTACGTATTTCTCACTTACGATCAACAGTAAACTTCACAACTATAAAGATTAACCTTAGTTGAATGAATTTTGTATGCGAGACTCCCAAATTTAATTATGTATGTTCTTAACATGCAACACGTTTTCCAGGAATGAATCTCATACACATAAAATGATAGTGACTAAATTGAAACAAACGAGCGAAACTAGCTGAAGTTCAATTTTATGTAATTTAGCATGCAAAGACTTCTAGATGTTCTTCAATAACTACCATGAAGCTAGATTCATGCATATAAGCTTTTAAGGCAATCAAATGAATGACGCATATATTAAACACAATATACATATCCTTTACCTCAAATATTTCGTTATTACAATGCATAGGATATTGGGGAGAATCAGAAATACTGAAAATAAAATACTCAAAAACTAAGCTAGGAAAGAAAAGAAAATGGCCAAGAAATCATAGTTAACAATCTTGTGCACGGGAGCCATGAACGTAGACAGTAGGTGCATATGAGTGTGTAAGTATTGAATTTCTGACCTCTTCGAATGAGGTAGCCTCGTTTACTTATAAAAAGTAGGGGAGGGTGGTTATTTCGTATTAGTTTAGTGTGTGATATACAACTGCTTTGCATTATGCAACATGAGTAATGTAACACCCCATTTTTCAAAAGATGTTATAATTATTATATGTTATTTAGTCAATATTATTTTATTAGTATAAAAGAATGTTATTTTGTACGTTTAAATAAGTATTTTTATTAGCATTTTAAATAATTATTTATATGTTTTAAGGGATAATTTGGGAGATGACAAATTATATATTTTATTATAAAATTTAAAAGGTTGATTTTATATGATATTTTAATATTAAAATTATATTATTATATTTTGGGTCAGATATATATTATTATTATTATTATAGAGGAAAAATATTTTATATAGTATATGTATTTATTTTATTTAATTATTTTGGAGAAAAGATAAACGGGTCGGAAGAGAAGAAAGATGAGTTGGGTTGACCCAGCCCAATGGATTTTTTTAAGAAAGGGCTCAGACAAAGTTAACTATATGCCTCATTTGCATTTTGAAGGGTTAGGAAAGAAAGAGAGGAGAAATAGAGAGCTTAGAGGAAGAGTGCTTAGGAGGTGCTTAGAAACAATCTCAAATTGCTTTAGGATTATTCTGTTTAACGCAATCAAGTACGGGGAAAAAAGATTATTTTTATGCAAAGTCACATGAGGGAATTGAGTAGATGAGGAATCCCGTACGATTATGAGTAATTTTATACTTATTTATGGGAATTGATGAACCCATTAAATTTTGCATGTATTGAGCATTAGGAATATGTAAACAATTTGTAAAAATGATGATCAGGGAGAGAAAACGAAGTTGTAGAAAAACGCCTATGAGTTAGGTTTTTCAAAAAATTTGGAGCTTTATTATTTGAGTTAAGATTCTATAAAATTGATGATTCAATCAGGTTTTATATTGATTTATAAATGTGGTTGTTATATTATTTTGGTAAAATTGATGATCTAGATGATAAATGAATTCATTTTGATGTGCTCTGTAAGTTAAGATTCTTGTAGATTGATGAGGACCCTTAATTATATGAATTATTGAGTAATTGGGAGATTTTACTTATAGATGTACCTTAGTATCTTTTGTAATATCTTTCTATGTGATTAACCAAATCAATTTCCGTTTGTTGGGTTAGAAAGTAGACACTTGGGGCTATAATTTAGACTATAGAATCATGAAAAAATGTTAAGAATTGATTGAGTTATGAGAGTTATAAGTTCAATCTCCATTCCAGGGCGCAAAATATTAAGTTTTGTGTTGATAGCCATGCTAAGTGACCTTAACGACATTTTTAGGCTTTGTGTTATTCACAAAAGTTGTAGATTTTGGTGTTAGCTTTCTAATTGCTTTAGAATCACTCAGAAAGGATGTGTATAACTCATGTTATGGTCAAAATAGTAAGTAGAGGTCAAGTTGTTAGGATTTACGGTGCCCGACGTGAGTATTCTATTTTAGTTTGCGTTTTTTATGTTTTGGGACTCCCTTTTTGGAATGTTTGTGATACTTTATGATTTCTTAGTGATGATCTATAATACTTATGATATGATTGAATGAGTTTGATGTGGGATTATGAAATATGGTATTATATTGATGAATTTTGATGATGATTGTGAATCATATGATGTCCAGTATTGACTATTGTATGAAGAGATATAAATGGTGTGTGTTGGATGGAATGTAAATTAATTGTGAATTAAAGATTGATGTGTATGAGGAGGTTGTGCAAGATATGTGTATGACTTGTTGTGGAAATATTGGTTGTGTATGTGATGTGGAATTGAATTATGGATGTGGTGTGATGTCTTGGCATAAATGTATGTGTGGCACAACGCTAGGTGATGTGACAACGATGGCATGAGCATGACATATTGCAGAATGTGTGGCAATTAGCATAAATGTATGTGTGGCATGACGCTGGATGTGTGATGCGACAACAGTGGCGTGAACATGACATAGTGCGAAATGTGTGGAAATTAGCACAAATGTATGCCTGACACCCCGCTGGGCATGTGATGCGACAATGATGGCGTGAGCATGACATAGTTTTGGTTATGTAATATGGTGGATATGGATGATTTGTATATCTGTGTGATTTGGGATGTGATGATAGAATATATTGACTTAATATTGGTGAAATTTAACATGTATGGATGTTGGAAAAACTATAATTGTATAATATATGGAATTGAAACTATTTGTGGAGAATATGGTGGTAATGGTTAAGTTGTTATAACTACCTAAGAAATGTGGGTTCAATTCTCACTCCTTGCAAATTTTAAAAATTATTTAAGTATTAAAATGATAATAAGTTATTTATGTTAGGGATTAAAATGATTGTATTTATTTGAATCCTTTCATGTTATTTTGGCATGTATTTCATTGTCATTTTGGTTTTGGATACATAACGTCCCAATTCTCAAGTTAACTAACAATGTTAACATTTTAGTGACATCATAAACTAGAATGAATAACGAAGAAAAAGATTGATGATTAATTTTTCATTTTTCATCAAGAACTTTTATATCAACATCTAATAAAGTCATACTTTATTCACAGAAAATGTATATCAAGGTTAATAGTGTGTTTGGATGGAGAATTTACATGGAGTAATTCGGCACATTTGTGACATATTTATCACACAAACTGAAGCATCAGGAATGGAACTATGACATAAATCTGGTGACATGGTCCGCTGGCTTGTTTTATGGTTACGTCACCATTGTTCCTCTTGGTTTGTATTTAATCCTTAAGTACTTCTCTGTACCATCTGGCCTTGTCCAACTACTCTGCCTCTATGGATATTCCCTATTTGTCTTTATTCCGGCTCTGGTGAGTTACTGCTCTTCAAATTTTCTTTCAAGAAATTATTAGGTTATCTTGAACTATATGATCTTTAAATATTCTCTACATAATATGTAATTAAGTGTAATTATTGTTTCCTTGTAAATTGAAGATTTTAAATACATGTTATGTAGTAGTTGGTTGGGATTTGGGACTATGGACACTTTGGTGATTTTGTATTACCTAATAATTTTTCCTTTCAAGAAAGTATGGAAGTTGACATTTTGCTTTGTATTCTCCAAAATACTTTGTTTGGTGCAGTGTATGTCTGTTGTGCCATGGGAGATATTCAGATGGTTGATAGCTGGGGTGGCTGGATTCATGTCAGCAACTTTTGTGGCACTTAACCTCAGAGCACATATTTTGTCAGCAGGTGAAAGATGGCTTTTGATTGTTGCTGGCATTTTTCTATTACAGCTGGCTCTAGCTGTTGCACTAAAGGTCTACCTCTTCACAGTAACAGTATGAGACGAAAGTAGTACTAATACTATCATCATACGGGATCAATGAAGTGTAGATAACGAACAGAGAGCTTTTTGTTGGTTTAAATTTTCAGTAATATAATTTGTAGCTGAAATGAGACTATCAGATTAAACCGTCATTAGTTTTTTCAACGCAATATAGAGGCAAATAAAAATAGTTTGTATGTTTGATAACTACAAGCAAATGTTTCTGTCATTTGTTATGTTACATCTAACATGTCCCTCATGCAACAATCCTTCCTTCCTTTACACTTGAAATGTGGATAGAAGCTCACCAATCTTGTTAAAATACATGAGAATATTTGTATATCAGAGTAGTAGCAACGTATTCTATAATATAGGGAAACAAACCTTTTGCAGGGACACTCGTTATCTTCACCTTGATTATTTTCCTGCCCATTTTCATTTCCTACTTACACTCACCTTACTCTTTTTCTTTCTTATTCTTTGTTACTAAAATTAATAATTTAATTTATAACATTATTAAATAAGTTTTTCAAATTGACAAGATGTAAGTACCGAGCATCAAGACATTTTTTATGGTCATATATATTTTTATCCATAAGAATTATAATGATAATAATATTTAAATCTAAGATTGTGTGTATATTATTTCAGTCTCGTATCATTAGACCCATTCTAATATGGTTATATGCATCTATCGAAGAATGAACGATATTATTAATATTTCTCATAAATATATTACATTAAAAACAAAAATAATATAATATTGAGAAAATATAAAAGTTTACTTCTAACATTAATATTGTTACAAATTTGTAATAAAAAAAACTTGTAATTAATGTTTACTATAAGTGCATTCTCAAGATCCTAAAATGATAGATTGCATTCATACTACAGATATATAATAATTCCACCAATTATGTAATTTTGAACCCTAAACTTAGTCTATAAAGAATGTTCTTATATAAATTATGATAATTATAAAGAAAGTAATAGTATGAATATGCGGTGAGAGCATATCAAATTAGATCAGTAATTTTTAATTGAATTGTAGCAAAGTTAAATGCAGCAAGACCATAATAAAGTAACATAGAATTGAACCCCAACTAAGTTAAGAGCACGAGTGCGGATATCATCAGATTCAACTTCCCTTTGTGGCCCAATCCTTTGCTTGGGTAACTTTGGTAAGAAGATACTATTCGGAGCCCACTTAAAAGCAGTAATAAATTAATTTGGAAATGAGGCTCATAATAACAACTCACAAGTCACAAGATCAACATAAAAATAATAACAAAGATCTCATGCAACTGCTCGAGCAAAACAAGAGATGGAAAGATGCCACATGCTAGTCCAAAAGAAGACATAGACCTTATTAAAATAAAATATATATTGCTCGAAACCTTAAACCTAACAAAACATAAGCTAAAAGATGCCTCTTGTTCAATCTCTTGCTTCTTCAACAGCCAAATCTTACGTAGTAAAATATGAAGTTAAAAGGAAATCCTACTAGCCCTAGGAATGTGCTTTGACAAATAATGAAATCATTAACATTTAGGTTTTTTAAGTGTGTGAAAAGGGCAAACTAAAATCAACTTATTTGAGGATTCCGCAAACGGACAAGGTTAGGTTAATTCTGGATTTTTTTAATTGTTGTTAATTGACCCATAGAATAGCATCCGCAAGAATTGCCAATTGCCATTATGATAAAGAAAGGATTGGTTGGTATCCAATAATGTACACATTTCATAATGCACAAATTCAAAGTTCTGATTTATGAATCGTCCTTGCATGTCTGGTATAGTTGCATGAAAATTAGCTGTGGGACATTGAAAGATTGTCTAGCATGAACCGTGATTCAGAGTAATTATTAAATGGGTTTATTATAAGCCCTTAAATAAAGAGTAAGCATGTGTCAGATATTATTTTAGAAATAAGTAGATTTTTAATAAGGCTTACACAATCTTGCACAAGTTAATTATTGATTAAATGTCGAAGGTGTACTGTATCAGTATGACATTACTAATTGACTGAGACGTGAGCTTGACCATTGGTTCCCTACATTTCCTGGATCTTTCTTAGTGATGAACAAACCTATGTTTCAAACATGAAAGAATGAGAAACAGCTATTTATCCCTATTCCCTATTATAAACTCAGCATTCTGTTTCTTACATACCTCTATTGTAGACACAGACATCAAGAGGTGACTCAAATCTTGATTTTTATTCTCCATCTTTGGCTCAAACAAGCTACTAAAGAAGAATAGTATGTTCGTTGAAGATAGTGGGAAAAATCATGTCAATTTCAAGGACACAAATGGGGTGTTTATTGGTGCTGATACTGGTATTATTTAGCAGATTTTGTTTAAGCCATGGAGCATTAGGTGGTGGATGTGGAAAAGAAGTAGAACATACACACAAGTTTCCAGTATGGAGGAAAAGCTTTAGGCATGAAACAACGGGAGGCTCTTACAAGACAGTTAATAGAGAAGTACCTTCCTCTCCTGACCCCTTACACAACAGGTAGGTTGTTTTAGTTACTTCAATTGACTGAATCCTCTGTCCTTACAAGACCTGTTCTGCACATAAACAGTGCTTCACCTGGGATGAGTGGCAAGTAGTCACGATCACAATTCAAGTTTTGGAAGAACTATGTCACTTTTACTCCTTTTTCTCTCTCTTGAATATATTGAGAGGGTTTTCTGTATGCCTTTATTTTGTCTTTCATTATCAAACACTCCTAAAATTGAAATAGTTGAAATTAAGAGTGTTAGTATGTATATTTTTACTTACTATTTTATCAGCAATGACCCTTGTAGACTCAGAAGATATTTGCCCATCTAATTTTGTTTGAGCTGCTATCCACAGCTCATAGCGGGGAGGAGGTTTGAGGGTTTCAGTTGAAAGCTAGATTTTTAGAAAAATTTGTTTAATAGTTTTTTACTTTGCTTACTATTTCCATTTTCTTTAACATGAGGCATAATGATTCCCACACATTTTTTTTTTTCATTTCTATTTTTTTATTCTTGTTTTGTATTTTCTAATTTTTAATATTAATACATGTATATGTATATGTATATGTATATGTATATATACAACACACACATAAATATTTATTTTGTATTTGTTATTTTTCATTAATTTTAATAAATTTTTGGATAAAATTGGGTATTTACAATAATAATGCAAGTCATATTTAACCTCTATACTAGTGTAAAAGAGACATACTTTGTGTCACAGTGTATTTTAAAGATATATATATATATATATATATATATATATATGGTGGATCTAGAAGGTCAGTTGACTCAACCCCTGATGCCTCTGCCCTAGCCTTCATGATTTTCTTCTTTTTTAATTCATATCCCCCTCTTGACAATAGATGGGGTGCATCATTTTTGCTCTGTCGTTCTTGGGCAGCTTGTCTTTTGGCCTACAATAATGCAAATAAGAATATGAGATTAAAATATACCTTAAGTATTTGTGTTAATGTAAGAATTATAAATAACTAACCTACGAAGAAAGGTCCAATCGAGTAGGACGAAATTGCATCCACTCCTCGTCACTAATCTGGTACTTTAGACAGGGAGTCTCATTTTGTCGCTTTCCAAATACATACTCCCGTGTCAAGAAAGTCTTAAAGTCTCTCCACTTGGTGGCAAGGGCAGATAACATCTTCTTCCTCATGATCTCAGTGTTGGGAATGTCAAAATTTTGCTATCAAAATAACAACAATTAATAAATAACGTAATTAATTAAGTTATATAATATTGAAGGGATGTGCAAGTATATACCTGAATATCCTGCCACATGAGGTTCTTGTCAACCTCCTCAACATCATCCCATGATGGAATGATAATAGAAACATGACGTCAGTTATGACTCCCAAATAGCTCCTAAACTTTGCAGCATTTGGGCCTAACGCCTTGCCAGAACGAGGATCCACCTCAACCTGTGTCCTCTCCTTGGCAATGCGTCCAGCTGTCAACCCAGACAATCGGGTGACAGATCTACCTTCCCTCCTTACACTGCCAGACTCCAAATCTGTCATAACCCTAAAAAAATAACACTCTCATTATTAAAATAATGAATTAACTAAATAGACAAATAAAGTAGAAAATATAATAACAATATAGCAACAAAATAACTAATAAAACAACAAATAATACACAAAGTGTAATAAAATAGATAAAAATGATTGTGCTCTTGAATCACGTAGTTAAGACTTTGATCCTTAAATTTGTTATAAAACATTTATCAAGAAGTATCAAAGACTATCTTATCTCTAGTGATTAATGTCTAGCTCTCAACCAATATTATAGTTACCCAAAAAAAAATTAGTAAAAAAAACAGTTTGAACCAATATACTTTTCAATTTTTTTAAATTAAATCTAAAAAATTTCAACATAAAAAAATATATTTTAAGATTTATATAAGTATAAAGTATTTTGTCAACTATTTTTATTATTGTATAATTTTTAGAAATTCATTACTCATAATTTCACATTAATTTATTAGTTAAAAACATTATATAATATTAAAAAGGTTAAATTAAAATTTTAGTATCTTATTTCAATTTTTAGCTTTTCAATTTGTTCCTCTATATATAAAAAAAATATTTTAATTATCGAAACTTATTCTCTTAAAATGTCTTTTTTAAACCAATTTGATCACGTATAGTCTATTTGTTAAAATAAATTGGTCTTTAATTAAAGGCTCTTTATCAAAGAACAAACTAATCTAAATGGGCTGCGAAATGGGTGGTCACAAAGGTAGGGTTTGTACTTAGTAACCAGTACTAATCACAAAGGGCTGCGAAATGGGTGGTCATTTGTTTGCAAACAATATGTAGTTGTCTTACATTCTCATGCCAGAATCGACACCACTGAAATACCAACCACACGTTTACCATTTTACCCACGCAACAAAACAACATACAAACCCAATAACCACGCATTATTAAGAATTAATAGACATTTTTCAATAGAGTAAAACTAAGGGAAAAATCGGAGCAAAGAAAAAACACTATGAATAACACTGCATTCACCAATGGCGGTCACCGCTTCCAAAACTTCATTTATACGAAAAAGCAATGAAAAGAAATGAAAGGAAGGACTTCGCATGAAATAGCCACTAATCTTCGCTGGAAAACTCAGAAACGCCCTTCACCGGAATCCAATTGGTCAGAAAGATGGAGAATCACCCACCAATGACGAGCCGCCCTTCGTCAAAAGTTGCCAGAGCTCAAAATGCCAACACGAAATCGTTCACACCTTCGCCAAAAATCGCCCAAACGCCTTTGATATTAACTTAGGTTGCGCGCGCGAAGAAGAAGACGAAGGCGCACAGGGATATAAAAACGTTTTTACGTCGGACTACATAGGGGTCCAACG